TTATGACACTAAATTAACTCTAAGACTTCGCAAAATTACATAAAAAACGACAAGATTATGGGTAGTGTTTACTATACAATGATATACATTTATAAACATTTATATGTACATAAAATAATAAAGTTCTTTTCATATTTACATACTTTATCTCCCTGCTGAGCGTAAACTTCTATATACCTCGTGGTTGAGGTCGAACAACCCAACATCCAAACTGAAATGACCATTTATGTAAATTCAAACTCAAATTCCATGAACGATCCGATGCAACCACTTGAAAACGCTGGCTAACATTCTGTACAAGGAGTATTCTTGATCTGAAATAAAGAAGCAACTGGTTTTCAAACAGTTATCAATGTATTACTCAACTTACATGTACAGTCTGCCATGCTGACGCAAATGGCGCAAATGGATAGTTCTAGAATTGACCTCATTTGATGCAGTAAAACAATCTAACACTACCTTATCTAACTTTCGTATCAAAGATCAAATTTCTTTCCTATTATAAAACTACGATAAGACTGCTGACAAAAATGGAATAAATACATTATTGAATCAAAATAATACATCAATAAACTTTATCTCACGGATGCTGTTCACAACAAAGTTTTATAGGAGAATTGACTTCAAGCTTTATTTTTCCCAGATATTTGTATCACACTCATCTGAAGTCTGGGTTTTTTGTTAATGCGAAGACAATATTTCTATATCTCTTTATGTGTTACACAGACAGACTATTTTGCAGACTGTTCTGACTGACTCTAATGTTAGATTGAACAAACAAACTGTAATTTATATAATAACTTATCCATGCCTGTACAATTGGTATGTTCCTGCCTAAACAGGAATAAATATATATATAAATGAAAGCCTGTCCTGCTCAATGTCGGAACGTGACTTAGGTCTAGTTCTAATGGAGAAAATCGACACAAGCGTAAATTACACGGGGGATGTAGCGAGGGCATATGCGGTTATACACTTTACACATAGACAGTTAGGTGCACTCACTCCTGAGCTCTTTCTAAGGTTGTGTAAAACATACGTCAGACCACACCTTGAAGTGCATAATATTATTGCACCCCCACTGCTTAGATGAGACGCCAACCTCTTGGAAAGAGTCCAACGACGGGCAACAAAAGGAGTGGTTGGTCTCCGAAATAAACCATATGACGAAAGGCTGAAGAAATCAGGCCTACTGACACTCAGTTAACGTCGCCTGAAGGGGGATTTAATTACTGCCTACAAACTAACAAATGATCAGAATCGCCCAAACAAAGGTGTTCTGTCATTGAGTAGGTATAGGCTTCCTCGTGGAAATCCTAGAAGGATAGCTCATCAGAGGGCAAGGACCCGGGTGCGCTCCCACTTCTTTTCCCTGCGGGTTTGCCGTTTCTGGAATTCCTTACCGGCAGATGTAGCTATGGCACCATCTGTGGACGCCTTTAAGCGAAGGCTGGACAACAATGCAGCGACACAAGGACTGCATCCAAATGGCCTATCCCCTTAAAATCGCATACACCATTCACGGGTAGATAATTAAACTTGTCGTTTTACCTCTTCACATTCCCTTCAGTCTTACTCTCCTGACAGCTTTAACTACACCTATTATTATTATTATCATTATTACTGGTATATACATATATGTATACCGGTTGACTTACTGTTGTTACGTTTTCTCATTCTTTCTCTGTCTGTTAGTCTGAATACCTTTACTAATTATATCTATTATTATTAATATTATTATCTCTTTTCCACTGATGACGATACCGAAGAACTAGCTGGTGAAAGGATTAACTCCATTTACAGTAGTAACAGTCTTAACACACTTCATACTACAAACCCCATATAATTAACCCCGGCACTACTCATTCTGGAGTCAACCAAAGCTACGACAGTCGAGTGGCGGGACGGGCTACACAGACGTTTACCAAAGATCAGGAACCTCTACCTCACAATCAAGAGGCGAGCACAAAGAAATCAAATTGGTTTATACTAGCTCGTAAAAACGATATTGGATTGATCACAACATTCACTCACTTCGTATGGCCGTCTATTTCCACCGAGTGATCCACACTGGCGACGCAACTCCTGCCTTTTACGCAAAACGGTTTTGATTTTGACAACAATCTGAACGGAACCAAGCTAATACCATCAACGCAATTTACTGCATGCTTCTGTTTACTCCAAGTGAGTCTATGATTTTGGTATCATTTTGGTTAACTGTTACTGACTGTGATATTATTATTGTATATATATTGACGGATTTGCATATTCAAGCTGGCTGAAGTCAGTGAGTCTATGATTTTGGTATCATTTTGGTTAACTGCAATTGACTGTGATATTATTATTGTTGTTAACGCTTGTTACCCTTCTTGTTGTGAATTATTTTCCCGTGCTGGTGTTTTTCTGCTTGTTTATTTCCTGTTTTCCTGGTTTTTAAGGGGAGCAACACACAAGGTCGCTTCTCTCTAAATTAAAAAATTGATGTAACAACCCCTTCTCAGGCGTGAAGCTAGCAACCCCACCCTGTAAACAAACCTGCTACAGAAACTTCAGCACGATGTATCTCCTTGAGACAAAAGAAAAAGTGTGTGTGCGGACATGGAATGTCCGTACCATGTACGAGATTGGCAAAGCTGCCCAGATCGCAAACGAAATGAAAAGATACAGAAATCAAGTACTGGGAATATTTGAAAGCAGATGGAATGGGATTGGACTCACCAAATTGTCAACGGGTGAGTCAGTGATCTACTCCGGTCACCCAGAAGATAACCACTCGCACACCGAGGGCGTGGCTATCATGATGTCACCAACGGCAACGAAGGCCCTGATGCAATGGGAGGCGACCTCGTCCAGGATAATAACCGCCAGATTCATCTCCAAAGGAAGGAAAGTGTCAATTATACAATGCTATGCACCGACCAACAACGCAGACCTCGAAACGAAAGAAGAGTTTTACAGACAACTAAAGGCAACAATGGACAATACTCCAGATGGTGACATCAAAATACTAATGGGAGACATGAACGCCAAACTGGGATCAGACAGCACAGGAAGGGAACTCATCATGGGTAGAGAAGCTCTGGGAGAAATGAATGAAAACGGAGAACTCTTCGCCGACTTCTACGCCTTTAATCAACTAGTGATTGGTGGCAGCGTATTCAAACACAAGAATATCCACAAGGCTACATGGGTGTCACCAGATGGGCGAACCAAAAACCAAATCGACTTCATCTCAATCTCAAGGAAGTGGAGGCGCAGCCTGCTGGACACGAAAGTAAGAAGAGGAGCAGACATTGGCTCAGACCGCTATCTCGTACAAGGGACAATCCAAATCAAATTAAAAGCTTTCCGAGAATCAGGGGCTGCAGATAGACCACAAGCCAAGTTCAACACTCAAAAACTAAAGGACCAGGACGCAAAGGACATCTTCACTGCAAGTATAAAAGACAAAGCCCAGACACAAATCAACACTGGCGAAGAGGTCAGCGTCAGAAAGCACTGGAAGAACTTGAAGACACTATGGAGTCAAACACGCATGGAAGTCCTAGGCAGAAAGAAGAGACAGGACAAACAATGGCTCACTACTGATACTTAGAAACTAATAGAAGAGAGAGGGATGGTGAAACAAAAGATTCTCCAGTGCACCGACGAGCAACGAAAACAGAATTTGAATGCAAACTACAAGACACTGAACAAAAGAGTAAAGAAGAGTGCCAGAGAAGACAAAAGAAAGTATTATGAAACCATGGCAAGTGAGGCAGAACAAGCTGCAGGCAAAGGAGACCTCGCAGCACTCTACCAAACTACTAGGCACCTATCGGGCAAACGTTTGACACAAATCAAGCCGGTGAAGGATGACAATGGAAAGTCACTCACCAAAGAAGTGGAGCAAAGGAAACACTGGGCTGAACACTTCAAAAGACTCCTAAATCGACCACCACCTACAACACTCCCAGCAATACCAACAACGGAGACAGAGCTACCACTGAACACCAACCCCTCGACGAAATCAGAAGTCCTGAAGGCAATCAAGATGCTAAAAGCTCGGAAAGCAACAGGACTAGAAGTAATACCAGCAAAAGCATTGAAAATGGACCCAGAGACAACAGCGGACTTTATGACGCCACTACTGGAGAAGGTGTGGAAAGAAGGCAAAGTAACCGACGATTGGAAGAAGGAATACTTATTCAAACTACCAAAGAAAGGAAACCTAAGTCAATGCAAGAACTGGTGCGGAATTACGCTCCTGTCCATCCCAAGCAAAATACTAAGTCGCATCATCCTGGAGAGAATCAAACATGCCCTGGATGAAGAACTTCGACCGGAACAGGCTGGATTCAGGAGGAACAAGTCATGCATTGACTAGATCGCCACATTACGGATCATCATTGAGCAAAGCTTAGAGTGGCAGTCACCTCTCTATCTCAACTTTATCGACTTTGAAAAGGCCTATGACAGCGTCGATCGAGAGGTGATTTGGAAACTACTTCGCTACTATGGGTTGCCAACGACAATTATACATCTCATCCAACAGCTGTACGACAATGCTGCATGCCAAGTAATCCACAACGGGAAACTTACGGAACCCTTCGAAGTGAGGAGAGGAGTAAGACAGGGTTGCTTACTATCAGCAATGATTTTCCTGATTGCAGTAGACTGGGTAATGCGACAAACAGTGGGCAATGAGATAACAGGCATAAAATGGACTCACACAAAATACTTGGAGGATCTGGACTTCGCCGTTGATATATGTCTGATTTCCCACAAACTGGAAGATATGCAAGCGAAAAGCAACAAGTTGGCAGAAGAAGCATCCAGAGAAGATAGGACTTCAGGTGAACATAGAGAAAACAGAGGTGATGAAGATTCCTAGCCAATAGCAACAGCAACAGCAACAACAACAGACAACAATCAGCATACATGGACGAAATCTGAAAGAAGCAACCGCATTTACCTGCCCACATACCTGGGAAGGATTGTTTCAACTACAGGGGATAGCCTTGGCGGTACGTTCGAAATTGGTGACATTTTTGCACGTGTTTGCTCTGATATTCATTTACTGCTTATAGTCATATAATCCCTGTAATTATGGTCCAAATTTCTAAAAAACGTGTTCGTAGAAACACAGTTGTTTTAGATAGTGCCTCAACCTCGGTTATAACTGCATTACCACCCTGTAATACAGCATTAACTACTAGCTCACAAAATGGCTTGAGTGCAATTCTAACTCCTGTGATACAGATGAAAGATGTTCTGTTAGAGAACTCTGAGATCTGTAAATTAGACCTCCTTGTGAAAGATATCCAAAGGCAAGTAAATGAACTTCAGAAAAAATTAGGTCAGTTTGATAGAATGTCACTGCCATTGTCAAATATCACGGAGAGCAGTTCTCATATTGGCCAGGTTAAGTCTTTGCTGGATGTAACTCAAAGCAAGCTTTCGGATTTAGACCCAATAGCCTGTATGTTAAGAAAGCATCCTAAAATGTCTCCAGACACCCTAAATAAGGCTGAAAATATGATTGACTGCTTGGCTGCGGAGGTGATGAAGCGTATAACCTCTTCTCACCAGGCTATAGTTTACAATGTCCCAGATTCTCTTCCTCTGAAGACTGTTAAACACAAAATCCTGATTTGTTGCGGCATGGCCAGTGTTCCATGTGAATGCAAAAGACTTCGTAAAAAGTCTAACCAGGCTAACTGTCCCATTATTTTTAAGTTCAGTAATTCCCTTGATTCTAGTAAGTTTATTAAATGCCAGGATCACCTAAGACTGAACAGTAGTTATAAGTCTATAACCATAGCTCAAGATAAAACACCGTGTCAGCGCAGAATGATGCGGAGTAATAACCTGGTCACCTCCTCTAGCGTAGAATTACCCAAAAACGATCGTGCACAGCAACAGTCACCTAATGCTGACATTAGCATTCAGCAGACCACACCACAACCACGCATGGCAATGGAACTAGGGACTGATTTAGATACCAGCACCCCTGTAAATAACGTCTCACCAAAAGATGTTAAAATAGGTAGAACTGTTGCAAGCCGTTCCAAGAAATTCTTACCCAAACGTGGTGACCTCACCACAATGAACAAATTTCGCCGGGTTGAGACTAATGATGGGGAAGAATACTTTGTATTCAATAAGCTTGCTGAGAGTAAGACTTTCAAAAAACCCTCACCTCTTACGAAAAGTTCCTCTCGAAACACAAGTATATCTGGTGGTTTTCAGTATGCTCCACCTTATAGAAAGTCAGGCCCAAAAACCCCCAAAGTCTTACAACCAAAGCACCTTCCCTTTCAATTTCCTTTAAGTTATAAAACCAACACGAAGGTGTGTACCGGTATGATGGATAGCACGTGGATGGGTAGACCATTTGATGCTATGCTTTTTAACCGTCAACCCAGGCCCAACATCTACTATCCTTATATCCAGGAACACATGGTAAATTTTCCACGTGTCCCGAATCACTGGTACGACCCATGGCACCTAGGACCACCTCACTGCACTCTAACCCCGATGCACAGACACCCAGTCCAACCCCCGTGTCATTCATAAACTCTTGCGTTGTTGACGCACAAACAAAGTTAGGTTATGGTGATATCTTAAGCCAGTTTGCAGTATCCCGTGACTTATTCACGATATTGCTAATTAATGCGCGTTCCTTAATCAATAAGATATCTGAACTAAGGGCATTATTATTTATCGCCAAGCCTACTGTAGCTTTGATTACTGAATCATGGTGCTCATACTCTGTACTTGATGTGCATATAGGCATAGATGATTACACTGTACACCGTGCAAATAGAGACAGCAAGCGTGGTGGAGGATGTCTCATATATATACATAACTCATTCGTAGCCAGTAAGGTGGAAGATGAAATACTGAACGAGGTACCTGATTCACTCTGGGTCGTCTTACAAGGAGATAAGTACAAGCTTCTCATAGGCTGTGTATATCGAGCACCAAGCTCAACCAAAGTAACTGATGCGTTATTAGCTAAATCATTCGCACACGCCTCATCGTTTAGTACTAATTACAAAATAATTGCAGGGGACTTCAATCTTCCAGAAGTCAATTGGTTAAGTAGTTCCGGCCCGCAACGCTTCGACGAATTACTTGCCACTATCGATTGTTATGGATGGCAGCAACACGTCCAGACACCTACTCGTGGTGACAACATGTTGGACCTTGTGTTTTGTCATGACACAATCCCAGTCTCCACCTATGTTGGTAACAGATTTTCCAGTAGTGACCATAGAATGGTGCTCTGCTCTCTGACTTTCTCACCACTAAATACAGGAAACAAACAGGATTCAGGGAGCTTGATTTGTCGTAGTTACAAACATACAGACTGGGGATTAGTCCAAGAACTCATTCGACTCTGTCACTGGGATGAATATTTTACCACTGACTCCCTGGAGACTGTAGTGTCCCTATTTTACAGGAATGTTATCCTTTGTCTAGATACTGTTGCTCCTAAGAAGGTAGTGAAATTAAGTAGACACCAAGCTGATTACATTCCGAGGGCATGCCGCAATAAGTTGAGGAAGTTGAAGAAACAGTACTATTCAACTAAGGATATATAACTACTGCACTCAATCCATGAGTCTCTTGAATCTGTCAAGCGCCAACGCTCTCAAAAGGACCTCGACGAAGAATTAAGGGCACTTGAAAGCACCTCCAAAGTTTACAACTTAACAACGCTTCTTAAAAAGCGAATGCAGTCGACGAGGGACATCCCCTATTTACTTCATGACAAAGTTATCTACAATGAGCCTTCCACCATCTGTGAAATATTCAGTGAGTGGTTTGCAAACTTCAGTTTAGAAACGCGCATTCCTGGTGACACCGGCCCCCTTACTAGTTCTTTCCTCGGAAGCATAGTGTTCACCGACCAATTAATAGAACAGGCAGTTAAAAGCCTGAAACCTTCCACTAGCACGGGACCAGATGGCCTTGCTTCCATAATTTTCAAAAACAGTGGGTGTGATATACCCCTACTACTTCTTAAATTCTTCTCGATATCTATGGACACTGGCACTTACCCTAATGAGTGGAAAACTAGCTTCATAATTCCACACCATAAATCCGGTGATAAGGCAAACGTCCGCAATTACAGACCTATAAATATAACCCCAGTTGTCTCGCGAGTCATGGAGAAAGTTGTCAAAGATCAGTTGTCAGACTATCTACTTAAGGAAGATCTTGTTACAAGGTCTCAACACGGATTTCTCAAAAATAGGTCTTGCGTTACTTGCCACTTCGACTTTTTCAACTGCGTCACTAGTAGTCGCGAAGCACGTAAGCTAGTTGTTGTTCTCTACTTCGACATATCTAGGGCATTTGACATGGTATCTCACAGCATTCTCTTTGAGAAGCTGTATTCATGTGGGATTCGCAATCCATTACTGAGCTGGTTAAAATCCTTTCTAAGCAATAGGGTACAAATAACCAAGGTTGGATCTGTGTTGTCTCATCCCAGACAGATCACAAGTGGGGTTGTGCAAGGTAGTGTCCTAGGTCCACTTTTATTTACAGTATACATTAACAGCATTTGCAACTGCTTCACCTCAGGTAAATCATTCCTATATGCTGACGACCTCAAAGTCGTTTACTCCTGCCACGCTCATGAACTAAGCGATATGGTAAATAAAATACATCTTGAACTAAGTAGTCTCGCAACATGGTGTACTGAATCCTGTCTTAAGTTCAACATTGATAAATGCGGCTGGATTTGTATCGGAAACAGTAACCTTGACCTGAATCTTGAAATAAATGGGCGTAAACTAGCCAAGCTCAACTCAGTCGTAGATCTCGGTATCAGATACTCTAGTAACTTAACGTTCTCTGAACAAACTGATTATGCCAGACGTAAAACACGAAGGCTCCTAGGATGCATAACTCGCAATTTCTTTTGTTGTGAAGCTAGGGTTTAATTATATAAAGTATGTGTCCGACCTATTTTAGAATACTGCCCGTTTATTCTTAGCGGACTCAGGCAAAATGACAAGCTTAAGTTAGAAGGAGTGCAACGGCAATTCACCTTAAGAATTCTTGGTTTAGAAAGTGGTCCTCAATACTATGAACGTTGCGACAGACTAAGTTTAGAACCACTCTGGAAAAGACGTCTTAAGCTGAACCTGATTTTTTACTACAAGCTAACTAATCTGCTCGTGCACTCCTCCGAGCCAATAATTAAACCTACCGCTGTCATCAGTTCCAATCTTAGAAATCATCACAACCTAGCTGCTATAGAGCATTGTCAGACTTACATGCGGTATAATTTCTTCTTAAATAAGTTTTCAGTCAATTGGAATAGACTACCAGCTGATGTGCGCGATGCAAACACACTCGCAGTGTTCATCTCCTCAGTCACCAGACTGCTCAAAGATGACAGTGCACTTCTGAGTCTGAATCCTACATCCACTTTTTCGTCCAACATAGATATTTTAAGTTCATTAAACGTGTAGTTACAACAAACTACAATTATAAATTTTTATATTATTGGAAGTACATGATAGACATTTTTACACAGGACAACAATATTAGCTCACACAATATAAAAGTTAGCATTACGGGAATAGTTAGTTAGTGCACCAAAATAACTATAATTACCAAACAGAATATAAATGTATGTATACATATTAATCACCCCCTAAGTACTCCACTTGCTTTCTTTTGCGTTGTTGTTGTTTGTCTTCTTTTGTCTCTCACCATTTCAGCTTCCATTTAACTTTTTGAATGAGAACGAAGAATGTAGATATTTGCCCATTTACAATGACAAATGATCTGCAAATATTATTGGTCCCATAACTTACAATTCCCTCGTGAATTGCGCATTGCCTTCACCAACGACGTAACCTGGATTACAGTTGTGAAATATATCTTTATAGCAATAAAAAAGTATTGATTTATAATACTTCACGAATGTAACTTATAACATAACTGATCTTGTCTGCAAAATAGCTTGCATTTCTTGAAAACACCCGTTTATAAGAAAATATAAACTACCATTATTATTAGTCTACCTTGAGTACTATTCACTTGTGATGTTACGAAGAAAATGCTGACAAAAGTATACAAGTGGATTACTTATTTTAAATTATTATCAAGAATAAGACTCGATGCCGTACACACCAAAGTTATATGGAGGAATTACTTCAAGCTTTATTTTTTTCCCAAGTATTTGTAATCCATCCAAAACATACTTGGGTTTTTTTTGTTAATGCGAAGACAATATTTCTATATTTCTTGATGTGCTCCATTGAATGACTAGTTATCATATTGTTCCCATAGACAAAATGACTGCAACCTTATAATTTTACCATGAACCAAATTTATGTAATTTAAATGATACTTATCCATGCCTGTACAACTGGTGTGTCCTACACAGGTAGGAAAAAATGTA